TTCCAACCACTTCCCAAACCCCAATGAGAACAGTAACTTGACAGCTGGGCTGCAACAGAAATAGGCAGAGCCTGTTGAAAGAAGCTGCCTGTACAATCTACAGAACACAGCAAAGTTGCATTACATTATCCTTGTAAAACCAACAGTTCTTTCCCTAGCTGATTTCCTTTTAATTGCATTTACAAAGATAGAGTATGAAGACCAAGTACATGTAAGAATAACCCACATCTTCAAACAACTGATAAGAATTACCATTTCCCTTTTTAGAAGGCACCCCCAGTCTTTAGCTATTCACTGCTCATTGTGGGTCTCAAACTTTCCTGTAGAACAGATTATCGAGACACTSACCAGTCAATGCCAGCTGGCTACACTCACTCGTTACTTCCCACCAAGCCTGACCCAAAACTAGGAATTTGATAATACCAAAAAAACCATGTGTCTTTATGCAGAGGTATAATAGACTACCGTGGTTTTCCCTTTGCCTTTCTCTTCTTGATCACAGGTATTTGACACTACATTGACCAGAAGACCTAGGGGTGAGTCAACTAACCAAAAGAGGTCATCAGTAGGTCTTCTCACCACCTTCCAAGAAGTCGAACAATACAGCGTCATCCTATTGCCTTATAGAATAGTGATTTTTCCTTCAACAACTTCCGTTAAATGCATACTACAGGATTGTACTATTAGCACAGAATGCAAATTCTTGGTAACCCATAGCTCTTTTAATCAGTAGGTCTGGAGAATGATGAACTGGCTGTAACTTTAGCAAAGTAGGAGGACATTTTGGTAAGCATGAAATTAGAAAGAACAATTACAGGACATCAACCCTATTACATCTGTGACAAGCTAATTCGACTAAATTGGGTTCTACACAGATGTTACAGTCCCCAATACCAAGARGCATTGCTGCTCCTTAAACATCCTCACTATCGGCAGGTGACCTCTGATGCTCACCTCTTACCTGTTGCATCATCTGAGTGCAASATTATTTTAGTAAACTGTGTTTGCAGAGTTTTATTTCCTGACAGCTGTCACAATTCTCTGCTGGTTCAATGTCAGTACAAGCCAAGATATTGATGAGGCTCTTCCAGTCACGTGGGATCTCACTGCCCTTGTAAACATCTACTGGAACTCTCTCTGTAGCTCTAGCTGTTGACTCTRGAGATAACAGTATCTAGATCCACCTGCAGCCTTTTAGTTTATAACTTGCCCTTTAGCATTAGGTCCTTTACATTACACTTCAAATCTTTCTAGGCCAAAAGAAAAAATTAGCTTTCGTTTTCTCATCTGTGAAAGCAACTGTGTTTAAATAGCATTGTATACCTATAACAGAAAACCAGTAGAACAATATAATAAATATAGGAAACATCTGTATTAGGGAAATATGTATCTAACAGCACTATCAACAAAAGGAAGGATAGCATGAAAAGGACGTCATGGTAATAGGACAGCACATAAAAAGTGCTGTTCCAAGCTTGGCCATACAGCCCATCATCTGACTAAAGAGACACTGGCAAATACAGCAGCTGGGTGCCCGTAACAATTGAAAATTGTGCAGGAAAAGGAGCAAGTTTGGAGGACAGCTCAGCTGGAGCAGAGCCATATGTACACTAACCCTATGCAGTCAAACTGAGGCACTTATGAACTAGAAGTGCATCACACTGAAGTGTGTCTAGGTGYCCCCAATCCCAAAAGGTCAGAGATGGTTACACCTCTAAGAAACATGYCCATATAGAAGGTGTCATCTTTGTRYGTAGCCTCACTTTCTGGATACTTTTTGAATTTAGAATCAATATAATTTTTGCCTGGACATAGATTCTAATTTTTTTCCCCAGCTGAGTCCAGCTACTTCTTTTCACTGTATTGTGAGCATATCACCTGCAATCTGTCATACCATTGCATCTGCTGCCATCCTCTGCAGGCATTATCACTGAGAGCTTCCTCTGATGTGACCTCACACCCAGTAATTCTGCCATCTGAAGACCACCACCATTATAATAACTAAWGGCCAGACATTGTCCTCTTTGGATTTTACATAATGGCTCATCAGGATGGCTTGCTCTCAGTCTTGTCCCTGGTGAGAATGTGTTCATGTCAGACTGTACACAATGGCTGAAAAATAGCCTGGGGTTAGATGGGTCAATGAAGCCAAACTTATGCATTCCTTGAGGAAATGTCACTGGATGCATGCTAAGGAGGCACAGGGCCACAGTCATCGGTTGTGCCTGTGCTGCTCTTGTGTTTATCCACACCTATATGTGTGTGCAAGAACACAATCATGTGTTATTTACTGACATGTAAAGCACTGGCATGTGCCACCTTCAGCTACTTAGGAAATGTGGAACTATTCCGGCAGGGGAAGAGCCAGTCAATCCCTACAGGCAAAAGACCCCCAACAAAATCCAGCCTTGGGAAGCAAGGACCCACCACCAAAGATGTCACATGCTTTCTAACACATTCTCTTCTGCCCTTCTGTTTTTGTTGTCAGTCTGCTATTTCCACCTCCTTCAGTCCTTTCCTTTGTTACCTAGAAAATTACCTTTTTCTTGGAAAGGACCTGAGACATGGAAATTACTGAGTGAGAACGCACTGGGCTACCTATTACAGCATGGTTTGTTTGCTTTGCTTYCCTCCTGCCCATCCTCACTCCACACTCTCCTGCTAGCTCCTCCAAGCTGGAGCTCTCTATTGCTCTCCATCTGCACAAGGGTTGGAACAGCAGATTTCCATTCCCGGTTGGTAACTAGGAACTAAGCGATAAACAGGTTGTAAAATTACGTCTGTACATTGCTTAGCAAACTAGGATTTTATTTCATATTGGCCCCCATACACTTAAAATAAACAGAGTTTAGGATTATCTGAAATGAAAGAGCTGTAAGAAAACAATGAGGAATTGCCAGTAATGTCAAGGCAATTAAAATYCACACACTACTTTACATTTTCACAAACACTGTTTATATGCTTTTCTTAATTAGCAAATAATCAGCTGTGTATGTAGAATACAAGTTTCTTATCTGAAGAGAGCCAGTGATGACACTGCCTGATAAACTATGTAAATGTACAACAATAACAATTTACTGCACAGAAAAACATCTCTTTTTTTGAGCACACCGAGAGCATGCCAGTGATTGCTGCACAGGAAATCAGAAAGGGGTATAGGAAAGCATCAGTTCTGTGACTTTTYCAGGATTAATTTCTCAGTGTGAAAGTTATCAAAAATAACACACTAAGCCGTTCAAACTCAGAGTATGAGTTCCCAGAGCATGAAGGCATGCACAGACACTCCATAAAACACAACAAAGCTTTTCTGTAACTTCCCCATCAAGGGCTTGCTTAGTCACAACTAAGCACTGACATGACATTGTAACAGCCTCTGGTCTAAAGGGATTTGAGTGTCTGTGCTATTCTCCTATTCCAATGGGTATCAAGAATTAATATAGGTTGTACTGCAAAACAAGACACCAGAATGACATTTCTACCTATTTACTTTTGATCATCTTCTCTCTACCACTGGCACCTCATTACCATCACTCACCAAGCCCTCTCGCCCTTGCAAACCCAGGGCAAATGCCATGCCAGGTGCTCACTACAATGGGCCAGTGCTGAATGAAGCTYAGCTAAGACCTGGCTTTATGAAATGCCATACTAGTCTTCTCTGCTGTATTTCTCACTTCTCTCCATTTAAATTCCACAGCTAGCACAGCACAGAGCATAAATAATAAAAGTGGTTACTACGGTAGCTTACAAAGGTTCAAATTTATAGCATATGTTCATTGTACTACTGACTGTAAAGAGGATATAACATCCAGAAAGTCAAAGGATGAGTGTGAGATAGGTCATCAGCAGAATTTTGTCTGGCAGAGCCTTGTTGAAACACCTGACATGATTATCCTATTTGATGTTTTCTGTGCTTTCCTCTCTGCTAGGAAAAAATGACACACTTAAGTCCTTTCTAGATTTTCTGAACTTTAGGGACCAGCTGCTATGGTTTCAGTCACCATCACACACTACTTTTACAAAAAAAGAAAAAAAAAAAACCCAAAAACTCACCAAAACAAAACACCTAAAAAAAAGACCCTGGGTTTTCTTTGGCAACATGTATTTTGAGGCAGACTAACCAAAGCAAGGAGTACATACTCAAGTACCAACACCTACTGAAATCAAAGGGTTTGAGTGAGTGTTCAAGACACTCCAATATTACAGGTTTTTCTTTTTCATGCAAAAACTAAATAAAGAGAGAACCTATTTATGTCACTCTGTTTGTACCTGTATCACAAAAATGCAACCACATGTAACTTTAGCAAGATTACATTTGTTGCTGCTTTGTTTTGCAACCATCCGGCAAACATCTTCAGAAAGATTTTCAAGGRTAACTTAAAAGACCTAAGGACTTTCTATTCCCTTTTAACCAGCAGAAGATAGAAAAAGTTTGACAGTAAGAACACCAATTAAATTTACCACGACAAAGCCTTTCCATCAGAATTTACCACTTGCCACACGTCACAGACTATAACTCATTCTTATTAAGTGCAACAACAAACCTAAACCACCTGTAATTAACCCCAGGTAATTGTCAAGTAATCGGACACTCCGCCACCGCCTGCCTTCGGTCAGGACGCTTCAGAACTCGCGAAYACCGCAGCTCGTGGAGCGGCAGCGGAGAACGAAAGCACCTCCGCATAAACGGAGAGCACAGGCACCCGCAACCCGGGACGCGGAGCTGGGGCAGCCCGGAGCGACGCGATCGAGGCGGCTGCCCAGGAGCGCGGAAAGCTTCTCCCACGCCGTGGGCGGCTTCTTCGGGGCAGAACGTAGCGTACGCATCGACTTACATACAGAAAAAATTTTGGAGTTTTTGCTATTTTTTTTTAAAGTAACTCTGGGGCTGGAGGCGCGGYTGCTGCCGCTCCCGYCCCGCTCTCGCCTCYCGGCCGGAGGCAKCGCCAGCCCCWCRGCCCCAGGGGATGCTGAGCTCCGCTCCGCCGCCGCGCCAGGCTCACCTCGATGAGCCGCTGCAGGGCGGGTCCCCGCAGGCAGGTGTGGTTGGCCAGCAGCTCCAAGTGCTGCTGCTGGAGATGCTGGGCCGCCTGCACCTCGACCGGCCGCTCCAGCGCCTGCAGCACGGCGGCGCCCAGCCCCACATAGCCCACGTAAGCCGCCAGCAGCACCGGCACCCCCCAGCGCCGCCGCCGCTGCCGCACCGCCACCATCGGCCCCGCCGCCGCCCGCCGCCCCCGGCGCTCAAGAAGCGGCTCGGCCGGGGGCGGGAGCGGGGCCGCCCGCGGGAGGAGGGCAGCACCGGCCCGGCAGGGCGCCCGGCCTCCAGCGCCTCCCCCRGCCTGCCCCTTCCCACTCTCGGGGAGCGGAGGGGAGCCCAGAGTGCAGCTGTGCCGGGAAAGGGTGATGATCCCGCGCCTCTCCCTGCGGCTTCCCACCCCTCCATCCCGTGCTTTGTCTTGCGCCGCTCCCCTTCCCACTTGTCTGTCCCAAAGCGCGAGGTTGCCTCAGGGCTCTCCCTGCTCCGCACCGCTTGTCCCTGAGCAAGGGACAGCCCCGAGTCACGTTCCCCCTCCGAGGGATGCCACCCATCCTCTCTCCACAAACCCAAGTGCTTCCCTCATCAGCTGGCACTATTTAGGGACCGGTATACCTGCACCCTGCATAAATCTGCATTCCTCATTTGGCTGCTAAGCTAATTTAAAAGGCAGCAAACAGGTGTTTGTGATACCAGCTCTTCGAAATAAACAAGTGAAAAGGTAGCAACTTTGYCAGAGTCTTTTTATGATTTGTTTTCCTGTGAAAGATGAGACTTCTTTCTTCATATAGGTAGTTCCTGAGACCTCTTTGATTAATTTTTTTTTTCTTGTATAAGAGTATATCCAGTGTTCCCTTCTGTTTTCTCACCAGCAGATAAAACAATCCAATTGCTTTGGGTGTATAAGAACTTTGTAATTTACCTATTTTGTTACATAATATGAGATAAAGGGAAATAAACCCACTAAATTTCTGTACAGGATCACTTTATACGCTGTCAGAGGGTAATGTGTTCTTGCGCTGTGATTATTTTTGCCGGGGCATTTATGTACTATTACAGGTAAAACAGCCACCAAGCAGGTATTGCCACCAGACTGTTCTGGTAATGTGCTAATTCATGGTTTTCTGGGATGTGCTTTAAATTGACTAGCATACACCATCATTTTACTGGCAAAATGCAAAAATTAATATGCAAAGGCTAGACCAATTCCAGTGTAAAGATATCATCCAGAGCATGGTCTTAGAACAAAAAAAAAAATTATGCTGCCGATGGCTTGGTCGTAATTGTGCCTTTTCAGGGTATTCATTACTCAATGATACTTTAAGAAAAAAAAAATTTATATATATATATGTATATGAAAACCTATAAAATATACATGAGTAAGAAAAAATGCTAAGATACTAAAATGTATATATATACACTCATCACTTCCRCCATTTAAGATCAGGAAATAGACACATCTGAGCTACATTTTAACATTATAGCTGCATTTAAACCCAGATTGTTTATACAAAGCACACTGATATAGCCATACTGAAACATTATGGACTAAACATTTAATGTTTGTACTAAACAGATATAAAACTAATTACAGGTGAGACTTGGGGTTTTTAACTACAAGACATACTGTGAAAATGCAGGACATCAAGCATGTGCTTACTAGAAGGAATTTGGGAAGAAAGATCACGTTTCACAACAAATCAGAATCACAGAATATTTCAATGGCTGTTTCCTTGAGTATTCTCAGAAATGTCACTTGTCTGTCAGTCTTCTCTTTACATCTCCACAGAGAAAGGCTCAAATCTCTGCTGATGATATTTTGGTGTTGTCTGGAAGGACAACATATGTGTCTGAGGATGAAGAAGGGATGTTGAGTAGGCTAAAAGGGTAAGTGCAAGCCTGGAAGGACATTTGCGTCATGTCCTGTGCTGGACTAGAGGTGATAGCTGCTCAAGACAAAGTGCCAATTGTCCACATCACAGATGAGCACTGCCTGGGCCATTGCTTCTGCCACAGCCTGCAGAGCCACATTCGGAGATTTTGGAAGTCCTGTTTTCTGTGCTTGGAGCTGGGCATGTGTGCTCTCCATTCTGGGCAGAAATATATTACTGGTAAAATGGCTTATTAGACCAAAGGATCCCTTTTGTGTGCTCCTCTGGCTCATAGCAAGCATTTGTGATCAAATGGTTTTCTGTGTCACTTTTCTTAGCTGCTCAGTTGATACTCGATGACTACATTTTTATTAAAGGAAGGCTGCCAGAAAGCACTTGGTCCATCCATGCTTAAGAACTGGCCAGTGCAGCCAGTATGTGTCTCAAAGTAACTTTGATTATAGATGTGCATGATCATTAGGAGCTTTTCAGGACCTTGAAAAATTGACAAAATGAGCAAGGCATTTCTCTCACTTATGTAATATAGGAGAGGGCATCAGTATCCTTCTCATTTCTCTTCCAACGTGGCCATGTKCTTGATTTAAAGGTCTGTTTTGGAGTCTTCTGTTGGTCAGCTGGAGAATTGCTGCAGCTACTGTCAGCTTTAGTAAACTCAGCAGTAGCAAAAAATCCAGGAGGTGTCAGCATGCTGCTATTTKGCAAAGTCAGTATCAGATACAGGAGCAACTTTCTGGACTGCAGTAAAAACAATTCAAACTTCCTGTGGTCAGATGTCAAGTAAGGATAATTTTAAGAAACACTTTGCTAGTAAGTGCTTTCTATCCCTGATAAACCTCTTTATCATTTTTTTATGGCACACAACATGGTATAAAACACTGGACAGGATCACCTTTAGACTAGTGCATGTCTTATGGCTGACTGTGGCTTGATAAAATATACCGGTTAGATACAAAAGTTCAATTTTGTCTTTTACATAAAAAGGCCAAAAGTGTCTTGTGTTAACACAAGGCAGGTGCAGAGTACAGTGATGGTGATGATGTTAACAAGTGCAAGTGCAAACACTCTGTCCAAAGATCAGAAAACACTGAGAAAGTTTCCCGTGAGATTTGCAAAGATACAAAAAGCCAGACAGGAGAGAGTTGGCTGGTGTCAGTGAAAGTCTACAGAGAAAGCCATTGCATGATTTTGTGGGAATAGCTAAGGGCATGGAGGAAGATCAGTGCAAAAACCAAGGAGATAAAGATCTGTGAGGTAGGTAGTGTTAAGACATGAGAGAAATGTTGGATGGGATTTGAACATTCATTTTAAAATTAGCTGAATAAATCATAACCAGCATTCAGTACATCAGCATTTCAGATTTGTGTAGCCACACTGCAYTGTGCAGGACTCAGCAACTGGCAAAGAAAATGTGCAACAAAGAAAACATGCACCATGTCAGATGTAAGAACAACCATCTGTTGTGACTCTCCTCAGAAGTAAAACTCTAGCTCAGAAAGTATGCAGGAAAAGATTAGTGACCTACACAAGTTTCTACATGTTTTATGGACACTCCTTCAAAATTAAATATCAAGCAGCTGCTGAAAGGCTGACATTTGATGTTCCTACAGTCTGTCAGACATACACTAGCTTGGGGCTAGTCTACAAAGSCAGCCATATTTCACTCACGCTTTTCACTGAAGTTCCATGTATAAATGAGTTTAAAGGGATTAACTGATGGTTACTATGAGATATAAACATATAAACAATAAATAGCAGTGTGTACATCATTACAAGCACACCCATGGAATGTGTTAGTGATGGTTAGAACCAATCTCAGTGACGACTCTCATATTTAGGTGTTTTTGTGTACTTTGGYTTTTCAGCCCCTTTGGAGATGGCTGCTTCTACTTTTGACTGACAATAGTTGTGATAAATCCAGTCTCCCTGCTTCTCATGGGTCACACAATGGGCCTGACTGGGGATCAGATTTAATGCAAGAGCCTATTATTGGTCTTATTTAGAGGTAAATGTACAGCATCAGTTATTTATGGTGCATAATAGCTCTTCAATGATCTGGCCCAAAGCAAATGCCAGACTCTAATATTTGTGATCTGGCTGRAATAAGGAGGTCTGCTTGCTTTTAGATTTAGTTTAAACTGCTGTTTTCAGGTGGCTGTGAAATRAACTGTGATAAGGACCTTCTTTGAGCTGGCAGCTTGCTCTGAGACGAATTGTCCAAGCTTGCTGGAGAGACATATAATTTCCTCACAATTAAAAGAGAAGCATTTTAGCCCAAAAAATAAAGAAATGCTGTCATTTTTTATGAAAGCTGTTCATTTCAGACAGTATCAACTGAATCTTAATTGGATGGATGCCATTAAGCAAGTGTTCATTACTAATGATATTCATCTGTGGGTTTGTTTTCAGATTGGAAGTGAAGAAAGATTTCTGTACCTGACTTTTTTCCACTTGAGATTCTTCGTGATATGAATTCTTATTGAAGCTGGGAGGCAGCCATTGGATTTTTTTGAAAATGAGTGACCATAAGAACTGAATCCCACTAGAGAAAGAGAGAGGATAATAGTTGATTACTTCAGGGAAGTTGCCTTTGAGTGAGAAATATGAAATGAATCCTGGAACAGTTGTATAACCATGTATGCTCCTTCCTTGGAGGTTTTAATTGGCTGATGCCTAMACAGGGTGTGGAAATTTCCATGTATCTGAAACATTTCCTCCTCAGGAAAACAGTCTACAACCTGTGGTTTAGTCCTTTATCCACAGGGCTTGCTTAGTGTGAGATACAGATGAAAAACGAAGTTTCAAGACTGGTTTCTTTGTACCTTGCTCAGCTAGGGATATGGATTCTAGGCTGCTCAGGKTCATCTTCCAATTTGGTGGTGGCTCCTTCTGTCAGGCTTAAGTCAGACTTGTGCCACTTTAGCTGAAGGAATTTTTCCATCAAGTCAGCTCCCACGTTGAAGACCAGAGCCAGCCAGGCCAAGCCAAAAACAATCCATATTGCAGTTAGGCTCCTGTAAATGGGGATATAGTGCTTGTTGGGGTTCGTGCCTGAAAAATCCAGGAAAATTTGCATATTTATCTTGGCAGCTTTGCTCTGCTAAATATACATACTCATACACCCTCTCCACCCCTCAAAAAAGTGTATGTGTTAGCGCGCTTGTGTGATCTATCAGCACATAGATTTTTAAATTTTTTATTTTACTGCCAACTCYCAGGTTAATCTTAGCACAGTTGGTATCAAATCCCTCAAGCTAAGGYGATATAATAAAAATAGCCATATCAAATATTAATCAGGGATGCTCAAAGACAATGATTCCTAGCCAACAACAAGAAAAAAAATTTTGGAAATTAAATGTTGAATCCATATTAACTCCACTTTACTCAAGAGGTGCATGGGGGATCTCAGATGATTTAGAAAGCTACAATTAGTGATACAGTGATTGCTTTCTGGAGGGTGATATACTTCAGTACCTGGGATTCACAATCACTTGCATAATATGGGAAATGTAGACATTTTAATTAAGTGGCTATGAGAACCTTAATCCCTGGTTTGATATTTCCACAACATGGACAATCAGTGCAGCTGATACAGTCACAGGACAGCACTGCAGCTGTTAATTTAGACTCTGTCATTCAGATCATTGTGAAACTCCATTGTGCCAGATTCAGCATTGGATTTTTTTAATCTCCTTTTGGGACACAGTTATGACCTCTARGAGAGGWGAGCTATTACTWGTGAAATAAGAGACYYTAATGGTTTTAACCAATAAACACATTAAAAATAATCTGTTAAGATTATGCATTTGTTCAAATAAGTGTGTGAAAAAATAGCCCCTCACATGTCCCTAGCACGATGTTCTCAATCTAGAGGTCTGAAGGCTATGTAATGTCACTGGGTTTGTTTTTGCTCAGAGGCATCCTTGGGTTGTCAGTAATGTTCTCCCCATTTTTACTACTGATTATTTAATATTTGATATGATTTGTTGCTGGGAATGGTAGGTACTTGCTGAAACAAGTCACTGATAGGAGAGGGTGGTTCAAAGGCTTAACACCGAAAAAGGAATTTCATTTCTATTCCACTTGTCTCTCTGGATAACATTTGTACCAGCCTGGACACGAACACTGTTGAATGGGTGTTCAGTGTCATGTGTGAAATGAGCTGGGTGACTCTCAGCTTGGCTRTCAAGAGAAAAGTGCTCATGTCCTATAACACATTGGATCATTATTACCAGTCTGGCCGAGCTCACTCTTGTACCAGATCTACAGTGGAGTGAATATCTATGCTCCCTGGATTTAGTTTTATACAAGAATGATGAATTTCAACAAAGCTCAATCCAGCTCATGGTTTTTTTACCTACTACATAGTCCCCAAATCCAATGGTGCTGAGGGTGATGAAGGTGAAGTAAAAGCCTTCTCCATAGCTCCAGCCTTCTACGTAACTGAAGACTAATGGTGGGAACACCAGGAAAAGCAAGGTCCCAGTGGTCAGGAAGATGGCCACTGCCAGTGTTTGAACCACCTGAAAGATAAGAGGAGGATGGAAGCCAAACAGCATGGAGTAATTTTCTTGTTAAAATTGCTGTGTCTGTTTTGCTTTTCAGTCACAAACCCACTCCACTTGGGAGTGATAGCAAAAAAAAAGGAAGGACAAGGCAYGTACTGCAGGCTGAGTTCACTGCACATAGGTATTATACCTAACCATTACACACAAAAAAAACCACTTAAAATTTAGAAAAAAAAAGGAGGACTCTTGTAAAACTTTTTGCAATGAGTTGTATTTTCAGACTTACTATGACAGCTACAGGAATGAAATACTCATTTTGCAATTTCAAGTGCAGATGCTCTTGTAGTCAACTASCTCCTGTCTTTGAGGAAAATCACCAAGTTCTGCGTAACTCATGAAACAAAGATGGGCAAGAACAAATTAGCATGGAAGCATGACTGCTTCCAAAGATTTATAAAGTGGCTTGCAAGAGCTCAGCCAAAAATATGTTTGGATAAAAYCCAAGTGAAGTCAGTTTGCCTGCTTTCATTTTTAACTTAGAAGTGCTCAGAGCAGAACTGGTTTGTGTTAGCACAGGCAGATCTGTGCCTCTCAGGACAAACATCAGCCTTYGGGGAGATAAGTTAACATGTACCTGGCTGCAGTACATAGGTGCAAAGAATGGTCAGTGGGTGGTTCCTGAAGGGATTTTAGGAATTTAGGAATTGATGATTAGAAACTCATGGGTTTCCAGGGAGCACATTCTGGTGAACTTTTGACTAATGATGTGTGGGCTGGTGCAAACTCATTGCAATTATTTAAAAATGCCCTCAAGGGCAATCAAACCAGAGYATGATTTTCTATTAATGAACCTATTGTGACTTGGTGAAAAGCCAAACCACTGTTTATAAAGTGGAAGGCCCAGATATCATGTTTTAATTTCTCTCTCTGAATTATCTCACATAAAAAATAATGCTCTGAGCTTGTGAAACTTGGCATGAGATGACTGGGTGACTTGACAAGTCACTTCTGTATCATGTGCCATGTCTCTCTAGCTGTGTATTTATACTTGCCTCATTTGCAGAGCAGTTTGAGAATTACCAATTGTCACATTTATAGCTGATAATATAGTTCAGTTGCTCTCATTTAGTTCATTCCAATATTGTAATAGCATTTAATTACATAATAAGCTTTGCATAAAAATGTATACCAAAATGYAAAATTTTACTTTTTAACCTGTCTTTTAAGAACTTCCTTGTATAAACCTATAATGTAGGGAACAGTAAGTCAGGAACAAAGAAGAACTCTGCAAATAATTTCCCAGARTATAACAAAATTGTGTTTATAAGGAGATAAAACAACTTCCTTCAATGAGCTTTTCAGAGCAAACAAGCAGATATAGCTCCAAAGCTTTGTCTGATCATAGGAGATCTGTCAGAAATGAGGTGTTAACTCAGGAGTGAAAAAGCTWAAAAAAAGATCATATCCCTGATGTGCTATTAGAAATCTCAGGAAAGATGTCGCTATCCTAGCATGAAAATCCTCCTGGTGGTAAAGCTGCAAGTATTTGGGGAACAGACATAGGTTATGTAGCTAAAGAATTTCTTGCTAACCCAAGTCTGCAATTGACAGTACCTTTAGAGCTTCCCATTGTAGATAAAGAAGCTAGTGACTCAWGAGATTTTACAAATGTAAAAGAAAAAAACTTGTGCCCTAACTCTGAAATGTTTCAACATACCTCACATATCTAATCTCTCTTTTCCCTGACTGAAGGGATCAATTCATGGAACCCTTCTCAGAAGCACATATTAACTTTTTAATAAATGACCCTCATGTATTTTCCATTATCAGTGCTTATTTAAAAACATCTGGACTAGTTCAATGACTCACCAATAAACTCTAAGTAAGGAAAGTAAGGAGAAAGAGTTTTTGCTTTTTAAGAAAAGAAAAGGAAAGAAGTGCTAAATTGCTGGCACAAACAGGAAAGCTAATTCCAGCCAGATTAGCAGGCCAATAAAAATAAGTTGTCTTTGCATAATGTAGAGCTAGACTCTGGATAGATGSTGGCATAGGCTGGAGAATAAGAGCTTGATTTGGCAATGTGTGCACATGCACGTATTCTCCCAAGGTCACTGGGTCTAGGGTTTTGCTGAGTAAGGTTTTAAAAAGGCAAATCTAGGGCACCTCAAGGATAAGCCTATAGCTTTAAAGCTCTCATAGGTAAATTGAGTGTGTCAAGTTTCTGATGCAGAGGGCCATGTAACTGCTGTGGTTAACACAAGGAAACGTAAGCTAGCAGCAGTAGTAGCTATTTGGTAACTTTAACTAGTTTTAAAACAATGGAAACAAATAGAAAGTTGACACCGTACCTGGGCACGCCCTGGCTTTTGCACCCATTTTTCCAGGGTGAGCAAGTGAGCATTGAGACCTTTCCCCAGCTGATTAAGGAAGGCCAGATTGAGGGGCACTCCAAATAAGGCATAAAACACACAGAAGATCTGCCCTGCCACCGTGTTGGGGGACAGGTTACCATAACCTGGAAWAAAAGGAGAAAACAGCTACATGAAAAGGCTCTACAGTCAAGCTGCAGGCATCATGGAGCATTCAYGGCAGCTTTGCTACGTTAAGCTTCAGAAAGCTGTGAATCTATGATTTTCTGCAATTAAATATGTCTACAAATTGCCATTGCTTATGATGAAGCCTTGTGCATTCACTACTACTAGCTGAAAATTAAACATGAAAAATATAACTCTTCCAGGTACTATTGTAACTTTCTATAGGTCTCTGATTTTGTGGTGAATGCTTCAAAGAAACCTGAAGATGTGCTATCCAAGTACAAAATTATATTGCATGTACCAAAGTAGCATTCACCTTCTTTTTGAGTATAAAATACTGGATACACAAAAATAATAGGCGTAATTGGAAACCAATAGGAAACCCACAGTAGCTGATTGTCTTGCAGGTGTATTCTGTCCTCCAATTACACATTTCTGGGAGTTTAAAAGACAGTTGGAGGAAATCCCCATTTATAAGGAAAGAAAATACCTCACCTATAGTGGTGACAACAGTTCCTGCAAAAAAGAAGGAGTTGCTGAAGTCCCAGTTGCTGGGATTTGTAGAGTTTCCTTCTGGGTTGACCCCTTTTTCCCATGCGTCCATGAGGACCTGAAGTGGAAAAGGTCAAAGGAGCAAAGATGAGGAAGAATGTCAGAAATAGAGATAAGTTAATACTATTTTCCATCTTGAGCAAGCAGAGTGATAAACAGTGTAGATAACAGGGTAGAGTTGGACTAAAAAGAACTTCTGCTGACATGGCAAAACTTTGAAATAGAGTTGACCAGGAACTTGAACTCTTGCTACAGGAGAACTGGTCATTGAAGTAGGATAGGTTCCCTAGCTACATGAAATCTGAGGGAAAGGGACTGGAGGATTCCCCAAAGCAGAAAAAAAAAATTAAAGTTGTACCATAAAAAATGAAAGTAGTTCCTCTTCTGTCCTTCTGTAATCTGGTCATCTCCTTCCAGTTTTTAATTTAGGCATGTATAAATGTATAATTGTGTCTGTGGGCAGGGGCATGGGGAACATGCTCATTTCTGTTTCCTCCCTATAAGTTCTAGTAAGGATGAATTATTATTTTTGGCTATGACTTCCATATAGTTTTAAATTAATATTAGGTTTCTGCTAGTCTGAAAGTTTAACTAATAAAACATTCTCTGCTGTTCCAGATAGCTCTTACATTATGACTAAAACTAGTGTGTGGCAAAAAATTACTGCTCCTGCATCAAATACACTGTCAACTGCCTTGATGGAGATTGTTTGCTGTCCCCAAGGATTTATCTGTGGGAGACTGRTTTCCCTCTGCCCAGTCGCTGGAGTTTTAAGAATCCACTTGTTTGTCACAYAGAAGATCAGAGCCTTTGTAATTTTGCAAAATGCCTGAATAAATTACTTGTTCATCTGTTCTAAAGAGTATGTATGATGAAAGACATGAGCAGGATTCAATAGCAGCCCCACCTTCAGCGGGTTCCAGGAGGATGAGACCAAAGAAGATACTCTTTCTTGATTCAAATATTAACCAGTACCAGAATAGTTGCTTTTCTAATGAACATGTCCACTGCAAGGTATCTGATTTTGGACAGGTTCTGCAATGTTAGCTGATCTCTTCTGGTTGACTCAGTATCCTGAGTTTAGTAGCTAATCTTATTCTTTCAGTAAAAAATCCTACAGCAYTGGTAATTTTTATCAGAGGGCTGCTGGGCTTCATCACCTGTGACCTTGTGACTGAAGTGTCAGCTGCAACAAAGAACTTCACATTATCCATTAAAAGCCTTTTCTTAGAATGAGAAGTATTCAAGACCTTCAATTTTCTGGAGTCACTTACTTAATTTGCTGCTTAGATGGAACATACAGAAGCTACTGAGGTGGGAGTATTTTGAAATAATCACAGGTTTAACTTATTCCTGGAAGGAACACTCAACAATTCTATGTATTTCAATGCTCAAGAATTCACAGGAGTKACATTCACATTATGAGAGCCAACATGGAAGAGTAAGGCAGCTTGGAATGTCRAACCTTTCAGACACAATCTGACAATGCCAGATTTCTTGGTACGATTGTTGCTTTTAAGTACAATCCCATGAAAGAACCCCATGAATGAAATGGCATCGTGGTGCCCAACGAACAGCTTCCTGTGGGACAGTCATAATGGCACCTGGCTCTTTCCATCTCCAGCTCAGGTGAAGGTTATGGCAGCTGCTGAATGRTTGGTGAACACGAACTGTTGCCTTTGGGAGAGAAGCAGCCAGTAGGAAAAAGCAATGTGCTGTAATTTACAGTAAGAATATCAAGCCTATAGTAAGTTACAGTAGGATGTGGAGACAATAGAAACTGCCTGCTGTTTCTGCTCCTGTCCCCCTGCCAATGCACATTGCAGCCACTTGTGCTCACAGACAAAAATTTAGTCCTTTTGGTGTATATTTATATCAGGCCCTTTGAGGCTGAAAAAGTACGGGCATAATGAAAACAGGGACTCCTTACTAAATGCATCTGCTTCTCGGCTATGCTGTCAGACTGGCAAAATTTCCTGACCGAAGTATACATTAGATCACAGAGACTGGATTTCCCAAAGCTCCAGGCTGCTCATTTTAGGAACAGCAGCTCAGGGCCATCTCTCAGCTAGGCAGTTTTAGCCAAACAGAATCAAGGCACTTTATTGACTTGAAACTGCAAGAATTTGTTTGATGCACAATGAAGCAAAAAAAGTTAATGAATTATAAGTGGTAACTCATTATTAGTCATAACAGATATGCAAAAAAAAAAAAAAATCTGTGAATCTGGGTTGAATCTCACATTTCAGAATTTAAATTTAAAGAATGGGCATTAAGACAAGACATACTTGTGAGCTGAGTAGACTGAGTCTGGGAGCTGTGTCTCACTGCAGTTTACTGTGACTTTTCCACCTGGAACTTGTGACATCATGAACAGGCCWCCTTAACCATGTTAGTTAAAACAGGCAGAGACACAACTGCTTCCCTGCATTAGAGWTTTAATATGGGTAGACCATTATTCCCTAATATTAGTAAGAGTTAGACAAATTTCTTAACAGGTCTTATAAGCAACAGATGAGTCAGAGAGTAGATGCATTTACGTGTACCTTGAGGATACCAAATCTCAGTACTGTGAAACTTGGTGCATTTTAGATGATTTGGTGCCCTCAGCCGGTTTTATCTGGAACAGCTTACAAGTGGAATTGTGTTTAATTCAGCAGAGACATAGCAGCCAAATGCGATTCTCTGAGTGGCAGGGCAGTGCTAAGAAAGCTCCACCGGAGTCAAAGAGAGAAGAATATGGACACATGGGACCTTCCATAAGGTTTTGAGGGTAGTGCAGATTTAAYTAAACCTTTCAATCCCATAGAGTATCATTAGGTTTAGAATGACCATCAGGGTTTTCTCCTCTGCAATCACTATCAGAAAGATAAGGGAAGGACAAGTAATATCACCAAGTCCTGAACCTGAAAAAATACGGTTTTAGGCTTGAAAGCTCTAGTTACTTTCTGGCCAATGTCCAATGTTCCATGTTACTTTGATATATTACAGTAATCAGAGCATTGGCTTTGTAGACTGAGGTTCAGGCACCTTTTCTACCCTGTCTGATCTGAACTATACAGTTCACTTCAATCCATATACAAAATCTGGGCTTTTTGTGGATCAAAATTACATACCTTCATCGAAGTCCTCTGACTTGGGCAGTACAAATTGTTTAGAGTTTTTATCGGTTTTAATGACATGGCAGAAAGTTCAAACTATTTAGGCACTCAGCTCTGCAATTTGGTATGTTTTGAGCACAAAGAAACTGGTAGTTCAAAGATTTCTGTCCAGTTCTTAAAATACTAGTATGAGAATACATTTATAATACCAGGAAAGATCTAGTAATTTATCTCCAGCCAGTTTTGAGGAAAAGATTAAAATGTAATTGAGTATGTCATTAATTTACAAGAGCCATATTGAACAAGAGCCCTTTATCTCTTATGAGCGATAGATAATACAGTTTGTGATGGTTGACTTCATCTTTTCTTTAGGTCTGAAAGTGCAGGACCACCTTTAAAGGCAGTAGACAATTGCTCTACAAAAGGGCAGAATYTGTCTCTGCTGATTGGACTGGAGAACCTTGGAAAGGCAACCTACTTCTTTAGGTTTGATTCTTGTTTTTTGTCCCCATGTATAATTACCAGCAAGAATTACTGAGGGAAATGAGAACATGAAGTTGAAATTATTGCAATGTAGCACAAATACATCACCAGATTTAAATATTTTGGGAGTTCATGACTGGGGAAAGAAATCAGTTCCAAGATCAAGATAAAGAAGTATATGAATGGGCTTGAATTATTTATAAARTTAGATATTTAGTATCATGGACAGCTGATCAGTTTATATCAYGCTTGGCCCCAACAGTATAATTTCTTCTAATGAAAATAATGCTTGAACCAAAATAATGGGAACCCGTTTCCTCTTACCTGTACAAACTTCTCCAGGGCTTGTCTGTCCAAGCATGTGTAGTTCTGCAGGAACTTGAGCTTTTCCAGCTGGAACTGGTCCAGAAAATGTGTCTCTGCCTGCTTCTCCAGCAGCTGGAACATCATAGCACCCAGGAGGAGGTAAAAGAGATACCCCAGAAGCAGCAGCGGAGTCCAGCTGATCCGCTGGCTGGGCATGGTTAGGAGGGGCATTCTGCTGCTCTGCCCTTGCCARTCCCTGCTCAGTACTTCACAAGTTACTGTCCAAGATGTGACCTACTCAAAACATCCAGGAATCACATACCCATGTTCYCTGCTACTGCCCTGGACAATTTCCAATAGAACACAGGGTATCAGGGCTAACAAAATGAGACTAACAGAAATTGCATCCCTCCACATCTGTTCTGTATCCAAAATAAATGGTGAACATTTATGGCTTAATAAGAGTGTGAATCATAGAGATTTTCTTCTATTAGCTTTTTTCCAAAGATCTCAGTCAAATGAATAAAGCCCTCCGAGGTTGCTATTGGTTTCCAGACTGGGAAACTGAATCAAAACTGTGGTCATATGAATATAGAGTCACAGATAGACTCTTTAAGTCTTAACAGGTAAAGCCTTACTCTAAGTACTAGACTTCTGTGCAAGAAAACACTCTAAATGCTCYAATTACAGCAGACTTYCCAGCAGAAAGAAGAGTATGGAGCTGAATAAATGGAAAAGTCAATAGCTGCTGTCTGTAACATAAAAACATTGCTGGCACCAGTAAAACCAGCCTGATGAAGCTTCCAAACATCCTGAATTCAACTTGGTCACACAGCAGAACCTCTCTTTTCTAATCCTAGTAAGATCAATCCCCTCACTGCCTGGCCTACGGCACTGGACTCTCAAATGACTCCACACTTTAGTCCACAGAGTTAGAGAATAAACCACTCATGCCTACTGCTTTCAGTCTCTCTACTGCCCTTTTAATCCAAATACAAAAGGGGGAAGGAGGACTTAAGGTTAATAATTAGCTAAAAAAGTATCAGAGTTTCACTCACGGGAGCCTTAATAATTATCATGCACTGGAAATGAGTTGGGCTTGCATTTTTTTCTGTTGGAAGAGCTTTATGGCAAGTGTCATCTGTGTCACACTGCTTCTGAAAGAAAACACACACACACACACACACACACACACACACACACACACACACACACACACACACAAAACACACACAGGAAGGAGGCCAGGTGGCTAGGGCTGCATTTTTGTTACTACACTCCCTTGGCTGTTAAATGCTCTGGATTATAGATATCCCTACTTTGCTTAGCATTCAGATGGTTTTACACCTATCTTCAAACAAGATATASTACTCACAGAAAAAGACTGAAAAARTTATTTCTTTCATATCTCTGGGAAAATCCCTAGACCTGCCATTTGTACTGTGCTCGTAACCTGGGGCCAGCCATCATCCAGAAGAGGATGACAGACTRGCAACAGAAGTCCACTTACCACTCAGAGAAGTGAAAACTATTGTGAATAATTCCCAGGAGACCATCCTRGACTTTGTCTGGGACTACTCTGTTGGTGTGAATGAGGGAACAGAAAGATTTCAGTAGGGAARTGCAATATGCAAGGACTCAGAGCCTTGGTGCTCTCATGTTTCTTCTCAGCTGAAAAAGCAAAACATTTGGGGARATGGAAGTTACAGTAGCATTGATATCACTGAGCACTGTAACAACATTATGAAGCAAACTGATCTGACTCAACAGGGACATCCAGTTTATTATCACTGATGAAAGGCTTCTCTTGGTCTATGCTAAGGATGATAGATATTTACACAATATCTAACCAGAACATCACTCTTGTGTCTGACTTCCATAACTAAAAGGTACAGCTTGTTATTCCATTCCTAGTGAAATGAAATGGGTAGACAAGTCTGGGGTGTTGTACTGCCAGGGCTGTCTCTGGTGGTGATCCAGGTGTTTATTGCGTTTTTGGTGGTAGGACCAGGCTGAGAATGCCAGCCTGCTGGTTTTCTGGAATGGATGCAAACCATGGAATTGTGCACAGCTGGGCTGGCATCAATTCTCTCAGTTGAAGTATGTTTCACTATTAAGGGTATGAAACTATAAGATATAAACGAACAAATACAGTACYGAATCAGTTTTTTGTCCCCTTCCGTTCTTTTCAGCTCAGATCAACAAAGCATTTCAGCTGACAAACTCAGCAGTCTAAATTATTAGGAAAAATATGYAAAATATCCATTCAGTCTTAYTTTTGGATCTTAATTTTCTGAATGTGTTGCAAATTGAGTCACCAATGTCATCAAGGTGTATTTATYTCTATACTATAATCATTCCTACAGGTTTCATTCTCTCCTGTTCTAGTGTCAGGTTGCAATATAGGAACCAAATAAAGCCAGATTCTGTGCAGCAGCCCAGAAGTTAAGCCTTGCCACAGGTAAAAAAAATCCAAATATATACATTTGGAAGTAAACTGAAGACTCTATGATTTTTGTGTGAGTTCTAAATCTGGAAGAGGGAGTTCAGAATGGCTTACCACATCGGAAATTAAATTTGGCTTCCAGGTAAAAGACATAATATACAATGTACTGAAATAACAATACTACCAAATCCCTTTTCATGACAGGAYGACAAAGCACACTCTCTAGTCTAACTTCTCTTGTTGCTTTTTTAATGCTCTTCTCATAAAAAAATAAACAAAACCTGAGTTCACAGACTTTAGAAACAAAAAGTGCGGAATGCAAGAACTTCTTAAGAGAAGTTGAACTTGGAAGTTGACTGTTCTTCTGACTGTTCTTCTCCTGCTTTTCCAGTGCTCCCTGCCAATGCTGAACATAAGGGTGCATCTGGTCTCAAAGCTAGGGAATGACTTCTCATGAAACGTATTTTGAATCCACGGCTGGACATGATCTCCTTGATTACTCCTTCACTAATCTTTCTTCCTCACTGGGGCTGACCCAATAGAATCCAGCTTTTCCCACAGAAAATCTGAGCCATTCTGGAAAGGACAGATACCAAAATGATGTCCTGGTTTACAATCAACATAATAATCACTTTTCATGTATTACTTGAAGCAAATAAAAGGATTCATTGTTCTCYAATTGTTTTACCCATCATTCTTACAATCCCTAACAAATCTTAAACATGGTTAGATGAGAAATAAAAGATAGGCCAAAAATAACTGACATGGTTTGCTCACTTTCCTCACTGGTTTTCAAAAGCCAGAAAAAATACCCTTGTGATCAGAAGTATAATTTACATTGATACAAATAAGCTGTTTCTAAATTAAGYAGTAAAACAGCTGAAAGACTATTCTCAAACTTCTGACAGAGAATGATTTTTGGACTAGTTTTTCTGGTAGAAATGTCTCTGTACAGAAGTAGTTGACAAAGTGGATGCAAAGGTCCAGGTATTCATTCTCCCACATACTATGCATTTCAGCCTGAACAGTTTGTACAAGGAAATACTGAATTAGTTTAATTTGTTTTGTTCCTTGAATGACTTTTAAACTCTGCACTGCAGAGAAGAATTAAGGAAATTATTTTAGAACCATGTTAAATACAAATAACAGAACCACTTCATTTCTTCAGGCATGACACAGCCATCTGGCAATTTTCTACTTTTGATTTTGTTCTCACTCAAAATTGAAACCAATAATTTTGACTTCCAGATTTATGTTCACATAGGTGAAAACATGAAGCATTTTCAGATAAATATGATAAAGAATTCTAAGATTTCAACAGTATTTTTCACCGACAGATTCCACAGGAAGGAAAAAAAAAGTTTCCTCGAATTCTGTAATTATTGTATTGGAGTAGATCTTGYTTCTGTTCTTTATCTATATAAATGYATTTGAGTAAATCCACYGTTGGCCCACAAAGACAAGYTTTTATTTAGTTCACTGTTTGTGTCAAACGAAGCACCGCAGCTGCCCCTCAAAATGAACAGAAGATAACCTTTWGAAAATCTCAGATGCTGCTCCTGAGATTTTCCTCAAGGAAAAGGAATCTTCAGTTTTATTGTGGCACTGTCAAACAAAGTCATGGATAGTAAACACTACAAATATTMATTCTATTTTGCTTGTCTTATAGGTGAGGTTTCAAAGCAAACATTGCAGGAAGTGAAACACAGAAAAACTATTAGAAAAAGATTGTTTAACATTGATTGAAACAACAATAAAATTGAATCATAGGAAATAATAGAAAACCAGAAGTTTGATTGTTATGGTTATTAAAAATGCACTTTGAAAAGACAAATAAATTCTATATAGAGTTACCAAATATGCTAAATGTAACAAGACATTCCCAGATACTCATCTTCTTGGCATCCATATTCAACAGCTGCATGTTTGGTACAGGAAACATTTACAAGATCTTAACATTTTATTATGTTGAAATGCTCTCAGTTTATATCACTGACATAAAATACTTCCATCCTGTGATTGATTAAATCAGGTAAGTGTATGTTACATTCTATACTTACACTGTTACATGTGTGAGCCTCATTATTCCACTTCAAAGCCTCTTTCTTAAAAAATGCAGGAGTGACAGAGAGAGATTGAATTGAGGCATRTCCATCTTCCAAGAAAAAGAAACTCAACATAAGGTTATGTAATTTTCTTCTTGGAGTTCTCTGGAAAGCTGCAACGGCCAGGAAGTAGTGAAATACCCAAGCCAAAACCTGGTTAGCTCAAGGGTTTCACTAATGCAGGTCCAGACTGCATGTAGAGCCCTGGCAGATTGAATACAAATGAGAACAGACCCCTTGGCTTTTATTGTAAGTCTGGGTCATATCCTGGCCCTCYCAGAAGCTATGGTGCTGTAAAACACCAGAGGATGTGTATCTTCTWCTGAAATAAATGATAGAGAAGATTGGAAATTTATTGAAATAAAGGATGAGATGATCCACAATGTCTGGGATCAATTAATCCCAGAAACATCCGTATGGAATCTAGCACTCTAGAGCTACCTCCTCAAGAAATCTCCACCAAAAAAAGAAAAAAAAGAGATTTGGATTTATTCTGGTSGCAGATAATAAATAAATAAATTTAATTTACCATATGAATATTGAATCAAACCCAACCAGATATCATGTGAATTGACTGGAGTGAGATGCGCATGAGAATCTCCATGCTTAGAAATGCTGTTTTACAGGTGGCTTAGGGAGGATTGAAGACCAGGATAAGTGTGGGCCTCTGATTGTTTCTC